TGTCTAGGCCTCTCAAACTCTAATTAGCGCATTCAAACCTTACTCTCTACAGGCTAGTCAGTGGCGTTGCACCCTAATCTGTCTCTGACAGGAATACCATCAACGCTGCGGGCCTGCTTACTGATGATGGAATAATACGGGAGGTAGTCTTCTTAAGCGTCTGACTGGAAGAGTAAACCCATACCAAGTAATGACTGACTCTCTTCCGAGGTGGATCGTACCGTCTTGATAGCATCTTCCATCCCTGAAGATTCATTCCTCCCTTATCCGAAGTCTAAGGCAGGACCCATTCAGCCTTGACTAGAGAACTTGGAATCGTGCGGGCTAGCCCGATCTCTGCTCGAGGGCAGTCTCTCCTTAGCCAAGCATGTTGAGAACTGGTATGAGTAGAGGGAGGAGCTCGCCACTGTACTCCCTAAGAAGAAGCCATAAACAGGGACACTCCAGTAAACCCTAATATGGTACCGAACTTTATACGAAGATATCCCAAGGTACCATATATATTATGTATTATTTGGGTCAGGAAAATAATGTCAATGATGGAGACTACCAGCCTATTTCGTACGGGCATCACGAGGATTACCACTGGTCAGTAGACTTGTTCCACTCGCAAGTCTAGCTTGAGTCGACAAGCGCTTCAAAGCTCGTTCATTCAAAAAGCATACCCTATATCTACTAGCATGCTCCATTCACGATCCTGAGCTTTTATTTCATGCAGCAAGGTGTGTAAATCGATGTAGATAGATCGTGGCCCCGTTTCGGTACCAAGTTCTGAGGGTTCGGTGGGGTGGGACGGTTCAGCATCTGAACCATCCGGCCATCTGTGTCCCGTCCATTTCCAATTTCGGCTGCTGCGACTCAGGACCGCTCCGCTCTATTCACAATCGGATAGCGGTCGACAGATGAGATGAGTTAAAGATAGCTCAAGGGGCTACGAGGGACAAATCAGCTTTGGGGCTCATTTCAGTTCGATTACCGAGCAGATACCTTGGCGCTCAGGCAGGAACAGCTTCACCTCAACCATCTATAACTAAGGTACTATTAGTAGTAGTCCATAAGGGAATTACGAGTTACCTGGTATGCTTTGGCGTCCGCTGAAGTTGAAACATTGGCTTTCGACAAGAATAATTGCTAGGGGGAAAAATACTCTGCCCCTTATTCCCCTGGCTAAAGATATAGTAAAGCGTATTATTGCCGATTCTCGCATGTCTAGTACTACCTCCCTCTTTGTAGTACAAGTATGCAACGGATGTCATTGATTTGGTCCTTGGCTGAGATAGTGTGCAAAGAAAAGAAAGTGGGGGAGCATATGGCAGATGATGAAAACGTTGTGGAATGAGCAAAGATAAGCACCGTGACTGCAGACGGTCGGCGTAATTGAGTTCAGGCTGGACACAATGTTGTACATGATATATATCTCCGAGGAGCAGGTGCTTGTCGGATACAGAAAGTACCCCAGTCATGTAATAGCTATTGTAAGTAATAATGTAGCTAGAAATGTTGGCATGGTTATGTCGTATACAGCTAGTTTATCTCCCATCTTATATTTAAATCCAGAGTGTTGTTGTAACCCCAACTGGACTCCCCATGGTGGTGCGGGCCTCTGTGAGGAGATGTTCGTGATATCGACGCCCAAAGTAAACATCTCCGCACCGGTGGGGATGGCGGAGTCAACTTTCGTCCAAGGGATGTGCAGGAAATCCTGCGTAGAGACCTGACCGGCGCACAATGCAGCAATATCGCCCGCACTTCCCTTCTCTGATGTTGAAAAGTTGAAGACTGACAGGGGCATATCGCGGGGAAAGTGACCTAAATTGACAAGGGGAAGAGGAGAGAACTGACTGGCCTCCACACGTTAGTAGACAGAATAATTAATGAGTGGTAGGGCTTTCCTTGTTGGCGGAAGGCAGCGGGAGGGCACCACGTGACCGTAACTCGCAAAACCCCCTCATGTTGACCCCACAGTTTTTCTTCCCCGCTCGCCTGTAATCCCATCTAAGGACATGGTCCAATTCCAAGGCAATTCGCCATGGAGGACGACAGAGGCACCCCGGGAAAAGTGAGGAAGAAAAGCACTCCTGCTCATCGCAAGTCCTTGTCTTGCGAATATTGCAGTCGGTCGTTTGCGCGCCTGGAACACCTCCAGCGCCATCTCCGCACCCGTTGAGTAACCCTGAAGCCTTTCCCGGCTGCTTGTGGCCTTCCCACACACGCGAGACTGACGTGTGCCATCTAGATACTAAGGAGAAACCTTTCTCATGTGATATTTGCTCCAAATCTTTTGCGAGGAGGTAAGTTGCTGCCCGCGTTGCATCGCAGCCGCCCCGCGCTAATATGGGGGGAAATTTCATAGTGATCTGCTCGTACGACATGAGCGGCTAGTCCATCCAACTGAGACCGCAGCCAACCGGGAGCATCGTGCTCAGAACAGCCACGATGTCCCTCAGACCCAGCCTCCCATAATACAGCCCACTCACCATGAGTCCCGCATGCTAGAGCTTGCCGACGCTGTCCCTATTCACACCCAACCCGTGCCGCCGCCGCCTCCCGAGGTGCAGGTGCAACCTCCCCCGATTGTGGAAACGCCTCACTTCAACCCTTCTTGGGGATATGACTTGAACCTCCTTTCCCACGCTGCAAGTCATGTTGCCCTGGAGGGCGAGCAGGAAAGTCTCGAATCGCTCCGCAAGTCTTCACAGAACGTGGGCACCTCGCAGCCACTTCCCCACGTCCCAGAGAGAGCGATAACCGATAATTATGGCGTCGAACCCTCTATCTTGGATCTTGCTGACTTAGGGGACCCTGTTCAAGACTTCACAGTCTTCCTGGAGAGCGTAGGACTGTCGTCCGACTGGGACTCAGGCGTGTTCTCCACGGTTGAAGACCCGATTCTGCCGACTACTCTTCCAATGGACTCAAAGCCAGCCATCCGTGACATGGGGAGACTTGGTCCCGAGCTCATGAGCGACCCGCGGACTGCAGCTGATGAGCAGCCGTCTTTTTCTAACTTTGGATCACGACTGCCGTCCTTGCAGCCTGAACCTCATGATGTAGATGACCGTCTCGGGTTTGGTGATGAAGGACCTCGCCCCGCCTGGGATATATCAAATGCAGACCGTCAGGTCTTCCTGTCGAAGCTCGATGAATTCGCTTATATTCTTCCCAAAAACTTTATTCCACCTTCAAGACACGCACTGTCTCGCTTTTTTGCTGGTTATATCAACGGCTTAAACGAGCATCTTCCTTTCATTCATGTCCCCACGCTCTCCGTTGCCAAATGCTCACCCGAGCTCACTCTTGCGCTAGCGGCTGCGGGGTCTCATTATCGATTTGAAAACAATCGAGGCATAGAGCTATTCCACGCAGCCAAGGCCATCCTGCTTCAGCGTCTCCACCGCCGAGATAGTAAGCAAGTGGCTTGTCCGACCTGGAACTTCCTGTCACCGGCATCTGGATTTCACAACTCTCGCGGGTCGTCCGCGACCTCAAACCATACCAGCAGCCCGTTCCAGCAGCAGCACCCTACTCTATACCCAGCGGATCCTTCTGGATATGCACCCGAAGATTCGGATGCCCACATGGAAGTGATTCGAACATTTCTTTTGCTTACAGTGTTTGCTTCGTGGGAACGGCACCCAGAGTTGTTACGAGAAATGCTCTCACTTCAAAGCACGCTGGCGAGGCTCGTGAGAGAACATGGTCTCGTCGAGCCACCTCCTAGCCCCGACCCGAACAACTGGGAAGATTGGATACGACGGGAAGGTAACCGGCGGACCAAATTCATTGTTTATTGCTTCTTCAACCTCCACTCTATCATGTACAACATCCCCCCTCTCATTCTTAACGCCGAGCTGAAGCTGAACATGCCCTGTTCGCACGACGTCTGGAAGGCTTCAAATGCAGCTCAATGGCGCCGTGTCCTCCGCACGAGGCATGGGCCAGAAGTCTCCTTCCAGGAGGCTTTTGCCAGACTTTTCTTCAAGTCCAGTACTTCTAGCGCTTCAGCGCCAATATCTCCCCTTGGGAACTATATCCTGATACACGCTATTATCCAGCAAATATTCTTTGCACGTCAGCTCTGCCTCTCTGCCCCAAGTATGCATGGGACAAGCTTACGTCAAGAAGACTTGTCCGCTTTGGACAATTCTCTGAGTGCCTGGAAGGCGTTGTGGAAACGCACACCTGAATCTAGCATTGATCCTCAAAACCCGGCAGGTCCAATAGCATTCACGTCTACTGCCCTTCTCGGGCTTGCTTATATTCGGTTGCATGTTGATTTGGGACCTTGTCGTCGTCTTATCACGCAAGATCCCCTGCAAATCGCGAGAGCTCTGGGTGAATCTCCACCAGTAGCACGAAGTCCTCGTCTGATCATGGCTCTTTTGCATTCGGCCCATGCACTTTCAATCCCAGTCCGCCTAGGTATTGACTTTGTGGCCCGAACCCATTCGTTCTTCTGGAGCATCCAGCACTCGCTGTGTAGCTTGGAGTGTGCTTTCCTCCTTAGCCGTTGGCTGCTGTCAATACCAATAACCCAGGCCGAGCAGAGACTGTCAGAGCACGAGCGAAAGCTTCTTCTGTGGATCAAGAGTATGATGGATGAAACCGACATGGCTGTTGATCCCCCTGGGGCACCCGACCTGGACTTTATCGCCAACCCCTATAAAGCGAAGCAGCTGAGCGTTGCTATCGTGCGTGTTTGGGCACGGACCTTTAAAGGAAACACCAGCTGGGCGATTGTGGATCTAGTTGGGTCGAGTCTCGATACTTACGCCGATTTTCTAGAGACGCAGATGTAGCTGCCCACCTCGCTTTGTGTTCGACTGGCGTCTCGGTATTCGACCCCACGGCAGACTTTCAAGCAATATTCTACTTTTCACAGCGCTGGGGAGCCAGCACACTCTGTGATTCTTTTATGTCTCGGTTTCGTGATTTGATCAATGGCTGAACCGCCTTATTCGCTAATGACACTTTGGTTTTTCTGTATTGCTGGTGTTGTTGTATACCCATGTCTTCACGGATATGATATCTTTATTTCCATAGTTTCTTCCGTGTACATAAACTGTTTCTGTTTTCTTTTCTGGGGGGAGAGCGGCTCTTGTGTATCGTCATCACCTCGGTTGGCTCATGTTTCTCGCCTTCCACCTGCTGGAAGTCTACAGACGACCAGGGAGTGACCACGAACTTCCCTACTTCCATTAGCTTTTATGGGCTGATCTATCCGGCCACAAGACCGCTCTCCAATCGAATGAACCGGGTATTAATAAAAGCGATGCGTGTTGCAAGAAACGGGTATCAAGAATACATAGCAGTCCACCCGTAGTAGCCGTAGCCCACTACTTTTCACCAAAACAAACCCAAATTCATCCCACTCAGAGACTCTTAACCCCACCCAAGAAGAAAGAACATCAAGTCTTCTGCTTCCCCCGAGTCCTCACCACACTAGCCGGAACAAACCGTAACGCAGACATAGACCTCTCCAGCTCCGCCATCCCCTCATCACCAGCAGGAGCAGCAGGGGCAGCACCATCTTGTCGAGAAGAAGTAGACGGAGAAGAGCCTTTCTGAGCACTCGCACCAGAATCAGCCTGGGATATGGAAGTCTGACGATACCGTAACCGGCCTTCCTTCGGAGAAGTAGGACCCGTAGCAGCGGATGATAACCGCCGACGATGGTCATGCGGAGTCCTCAGTAGAGAGGTCTGCTTGTCGATGCCGTCGTTGACAATGTAGAAGTTGTATGTCTGGAATACATACATTAGCCATAGTCTTCAGTAGACATGGGAGTGAATAGAATGGCAGGAGAAATTATATTTTACCTTATGAAACATATGCTTATCAATCAGATGCATTCTGCGTTTCTGAGGCGTAGAGCATACGCGTTCGCAGTCTTCGACGAAGCATGCATACTTGCATATTATAGTCATTAGCATCAGAACATCGAACATAGAGAAGGGGGGAGGAAAAGTTAAGGGTAATAACGTACAGTCTTCTCCCCCCTCTCCCTCCTCGTCGCTACCAACGCATCATGATTCTCTTCAATATGAAGATTCAGAAACCTCTCCGTCGGGAAATTCTTCCCACACTGCGAACACCGATTCACGTGTGTCTGGCGGTAATGCACCTCGTAGTCTTCGTAGGAACTGAACGAGATGGTTTCCCGATGGGGCGGTAGAGAGCAGTGCATGACTTCTTGGTTGGGGGGTGTGGCTGTGGGATCTAGGGAGGGGATTTTGGGACGGGTGGGTGAGGAGGAATGTTGTGGTGAAGGTGAAGGTGAAGGTGAGAGTGATGATGGGGATGGGGATGTGCTGCGTGAGCGTTTGGACATTTTATTTCTTTTTCCTGGGTTTGTCTTTTGTATGAAGTGGTGGTGCTGGGTTGCTGGTGGATGATGGTGAGGTGTTTGGGGGATTGTGATAGGTCAGGGTTTGGTTTAGTTTGAATGGGCTGCAGTTGCAATGAAGTGTGCAGATTGGGATAGTAGTAGCAATGTGGTTGGTTGGTTTGTCTGGATGTGTGGGTTAGTTGGGGGGATTTCGTTGTTTGTTTGAAGGGTGAAGAGATGTTGATTGCTTACGAAGAATTGAAAGTAGGGTGTAGGAGAAATTTACAAGATAGTGATTGATAGTGTAGTTGTTACTGTTATAGTATAAGAAATGGAATATGGAGGAATGCCCAGCGAATATTTGGTGAGCCACTAGGCTGGATTGGTTCTAGACTAGAGGTGGGATACTTTTTTAGCGGATGTCATAGCTTCCGCGATTAGTGGAGGAATGGATGATGGAAAGTCCGGAACTGGGAGGTTGAGTACCTTAGTGATGGAGGTTGCCAGAGGACTTGTCAATTATAGATGGCTATGGTAGTAAGTAGTTACTTAGACAATAATGCATGGGAAAAGTATGATAAGTCTAGGAATTTAATTGGAGTATGCGATATGCAGATACAGTGCTAATAGTATAGGGATCTTCTCTGCAATGAGTATCTGCAGTGTGGATCCTCAGGTTCCCATTCAGCTGAGAAAGTAACATAATATCGAAGTATATCCGGGAACTACTAAAATACCGCATAGTGAATAGTTGTGCATCTATCACAAGTTGATGATTTGCAAATCTGCCAAATGGTATTGGCGTTCTCGTACTGTAAGGAAAGAGAACTCGAGAAAACGGTTCGGTGCCTGAACCGGATCACCAGCCACAACCCATCCAGCCAATCACACATGTTAGAAACCCTCACTAGCCACAAAAAAAGACGGCCGGGCAAAGCATCCCGAGCCATTCAACCAATTTTCGGACGAGCGTCGAAAAGTTCCCGTGATATGGGATTTTCTCTCCAACGAGCGGCGGCCGCGAACCCCTCCGTTGTTCGTCTTCGCGCTTCGGGGTCCATCCTCATCGCTGCATCCACATCCTCCTCCTCCTGCTTCTTCCCTTCACTTCCAGTGGCTGTCACTCCGGGGTCCTGACCGCCCTCCACGCTCTCGCTCTTTTTTTGTATATACTAGTCTTACTGACTGATGGCTCGTTCACTGTTCCTGTCGCCCGCAGACTCCCAGCCAGCCATAGCCATCTGACGGGCGAATGTCACCGTTAGACTGACACGGGTGTGATCTCTCTTGGTCCTGAGCATGGCGTCCGCGTTCCAAAATACGTGGCAGTTAGTATTTCCCCTTCTCCAATCTCTCACTGTCACTACTTCTTTTTACAATCATTCTTCTTGTTCCCCTCAAACCGTGTGTGGACCCGTGTCTCTAATGCCAAATTCCGCATCATACAGAACTGCGCTCGAAGTCGAAAAGGAGCTCCTCAAGAGCCTTGCCGAGAAAGAGCCCACGTTTGCTGAAATTTCCCATTACCTTTCGGAGTTAGTTGCTGCCCCCCTCCTGCCGTCTTGTGGTGCGTTGGGTTTGCGCGCAGAATCATCTGACCGTCTCTGTCCTTCCTTCCTCGCCGTCGCAGATTCCGCTCTACTTGTCAGAATGCTATCCTTCAAGACTTCGAGACTGCCCGCTCCGTCGATGTTGAACCTCGCCTGTGGGATGCGCATCTCAAGATCAACACCCGATTCCGCAAATTGCTCTCTCGCGTGAGTGTCGCATGAGATCCTGCTCGTTCGCTGCCCGCCAATGTCTAATATGTGATGTCGATTATAGTTCCGGGAGGAAAGCGGAAAGAAGAAAAAGCCGGTAGAAAGGCGGAAGCTCGAGAAACACTACCTCGAGTTCATCAAATCAAGTCAACGATTCTATCGAGCCTTCATTCAACAATTGTCCTCCCACTTTGGAGGCATCCCGGAGCTAGAAAAGGTCGCGCGGAAATTCAATTCTGACAGTGAGCATTGTCGTCCCCGTTTATTCCTGGGCTTTCGTTGAGCAAAGCCATGTTTCTTTCTCAGATCTATCCGCGGAGCCTCCGATCCGAACTTCCGAAGCCCTCAAAAGGCACATTCTTCAATCATGCCATTCGACCCTCATCCGTCTCGGAGATCTCTCGCGCTACCGCGAGACCGAACTGGTCAGCAAGAACCGCAATTGGGGTCCGGCCATAGGTTACTACGACCTGGCCACATTGATCTACCCCGCGTCCGGTGCCCCTCATAACCAATTGGCGGTTATTGCCCTCGCCGACGGGAACCATCTAAGGGCCACTTATCATCTGTATAGAGCGTTGGCCGCTCAAGAGCCCCATCCTTCGGCCAAGGGCAATCTTGAGATTGAATTCAGAAAGGTCATGAATGCGTGGGTCAAACGAGAGTTGATTCGACCCGAAGACGCTGGCATTCCCGGCAGGTCATTGGCCCCTTGGTTTGTATACCTTCACGCGCAGTGTTACAGAGGGATTGATTTCCCTGAACACGACGAGCTTGAAAGTGAAGTCCTGAATCAACTTGCTGTGGACTTGAAGGAACGCTCTCTGGAAGGTACATTGCAAAAGTTCTGCCTGATCAACATCGCTGCCGAGGAGTTCTCGCGGACACAGACGAGCGGTAGGTTTCTCGACTTTCTCCTTAATAGAAGCGTGTATTGAACCAACTTACTAGATGATTCCACATCCAATGCGCGTTCCTTCTTCCAACGGATCAACGTGAAGACATTCTTCACATTGCTCCAGATTCTCCTGGCCGAAGTCGAACGCTTTGCGGTTGAGGACCCCAGCAACAAAGACGCCCAAACCGGACCTGATAAGGTTACTGTTGTTGCACGACGTGTCCTTCCGGCGCTACGGAACTACAGCTCTTGGCTCCTTACGGCCAGCAGCCTTTTGGTGTCCTACCAAGGGGAAAAGGACAGTCCTCTAGCAGTCCAGATCATCGAGTTCTGGAAGATTTACGCCAACACTTTAACCCTTCTTGCGTCGACGTTCGATGTAGTGCATCTGCCTGATATCGACTATTTGCTGGAAGAGGATGAAGAGACCCTGTGTTTTGCGCCCTTGGCCAAAGAGGCAACTTCCCGGAGGTACTTCAGCTCGACTGGCCAGCAGAAGCCCCGAATGAACGATCCTGGGGTAGAGAGGAATCACCCCAACATGGAGATGCTCTACCGAATCCGCGAGTTTGTTATTGATGGCTTGGATCTCGTTGTGAGCAATGTATGGATACTACGTTCTCATTGTTATCCTCAATCGCCATGCTAACTACTGCTGCTCTAGAAAATACCCATTGCCCTGGTGGACGATGAAGACAAGAAAACGTTTATTTACCAGGAAGAAGGGCTCCCTTCGCAATTCTTCGCCAGTCCATCGGGCCATCACCATACGATCTCATCCGCTAGTATTGAACGGGACGACATCCAAAAGGCAGCCCCTGATCCTAGCCACAACATTGACACTAGGAGTGTCTTTGGTGGTTCACAGGCCGCCTCCGCATCGATGTCAGCTAGCATGCATCGGATCGTTGAAGGTGTGGAAAGATTAGTAGAATCCGACACCTACGAGAATGCTCCGGCCATACCAGAGCAGCTGGCTTTTCCACGGAGCAGCAATCAACAGCGACCATCCAGCCAGTTCTTCGATTCGAGTATGGATTCAATCTTCCAAGAGGATATCCTTCCCAGGCAGACCCCTGCTGCTCCCCCTGGACTCGTACCACCCGTGACTGGCTCTGCACCTCTCGTCCGAGTGTCGTCTTCCCACTCTTACGCCGCCCGGCCTGCCCTTCCTGGTATCCCAAGCATCTGGAACACAGCTCTATCGCCGGAACTCGGTGATGCGCCTTCGCCACGGACTCCGCCAGGTCTGGGACAACAGTACCCGGCTTCTATGCTGCCTGGAAACATTGCCAGCCCCAATCATCATCTACCATCTCAGGATATGATCGCTAGCGAGAATGAGCGCATGCTCCGGCAGAGCATGATGAATCAAGCCTTGAGGCACAGTCCGCTCAATGGACCTAGTACCATACCCTCCTCCTGGATGCCCTCGCCCAACTCTACGTCGCACCACCGCCTTTCTGGATTCTCATGGGACCAAAGCTTAGTAGACGCTGCTGCAAACACACCTGGTTCCTTAGGAGTGTCCAGCCAGCCCATGTCTAGCGGACTAAGTAATGCGTCTTGGGCCAATAATGCATTCATCGCCAGCAGTTTCCCCTCCGGAGCAGGGTTTTCCAGTTCCGGGTTTACCAACACTCGTAGATCCGCCACGCAATACGGAGCCATCGGGCAGACTCCTCCCTGCGGCCACGGAGGCTGATCTCAAAGACCGTACCACTCAACCAAGTTCTGTGGGTGGGTCAGTATGGCTACTCATATTTCAGCACCTCTTTCGCAGTGACATGAGCAGGATTGAGGAAGCATGCGACTGTCTAGCTGTTTGTCCCAAGGACTGAGTGACCGACTCTATCCATCTATCTTCGAACTCTCAATCCTTTTGTAGTCGGATCAGGCTGGCAAAGGAAGGCTTGGTAGGAATAAAGAGGAGGAATGGTCATTGCTATGCAGACCCTTCGTCACTCATTACCACAGCTCAGGTCCCGACAATGGCGTGATCCGAATACCATAGGATTGGATGATGCTCGTCCATCTATAACCGTCACCGGCGGGTTATCGCAGAATTAAAGGGCTTGTTGATGAGATTTGACTGTGCCTGGGATACGATGATGACGGTGATGATAATGATCTCAAGGTCTTAACGCTTGTTCACTGATGAGGGTGAGGAGGATGGGGAGATTGATCAAACTGCATGCAACTAGCTAGCTATCTATATATGAGGCCACGGCATGGATGACTTGTGCATCTGCAAGCGTTACAAGAAGAATTCGAATTCATCTGATCATTATTTGTCTTACTCCTCACTTCTCCGTCATAGCCACAATAGTGGCTTGGCTCTCCTATCCTTTACAGGCCTCATGTCATCATCATAGGTTAGTATTCTACCAATACGACTTCAAACCAAGAAAGTCCCAAAATAGATCGAAATGTTTCGACTGATTTTGTAGGATATATTATATATACAACCAAGATAAATTCTTCATTAAATCGTTGTTGAGAACGTCATCATCTGCAACTCTGCAATATCTATCCATCATCATTGAAATCAAAAACCCAAAGGGAAAGCGTGATAGCGAGGATCCGCATACATAGACCGTTGATGAAAACAGCATAGTCTAAGACGTTAAGTCAAGGACGTGTGGGGTATAGAAGGTTGAATCTTTGGAAGAGAAGAGGAAGGGAAAATAGGAAATTTTTTGTAGATGAGAGAGAAAAAAGGTATCAGCTATGGCCTCCACGATTCCGAAGGTGGGTGTTTGGTGGAGGATGCTTAGGAGCGGTTGATGGGGGTGTAGGCCTGCTTGGGGAAGGGGAAACTAGATATCGGGCATTTCGGGTCAGTCACTGCCAGACCTGTGTTTGATGGATGGATGGGGCTGGTTTGGGGACTTACGAGGCACCCAGCTCCTGGATGCTGAGGGAAGCGAGCCACTGGCCCATGTCGATGCTGTCCTCGAGGGACTTGCCCTGGACGATACCGGCGCAGAACCCACCGCAGAAGGCGTCACTGTGTGGCAGTTAGATCTTGATTCTAGCGGTTGAGTTTGTATTATGAGAGGTTCGTTACTTACCCGGCACCGTTGGTGTCGTTGATGCTCTCCTTGGGGATCTCACGGACGGGGATCTCCTTGACCTCGACCTCACCGTTGGGCTTAACGGTGGCAGCGACAGTGGGGAGGGTGCCCTGGGTCACGATGGCGGTACGAGGACGGCCGGTGTTCTTCTTGGGGAGCTGAGCCAGCTTCTTGGCGATCTCGACGACGTCGTCGGTGCCCCAGCTGTGGCTCTCGGAGAAAGCACGAGCCTCGGTCTCGTTACAGAAGGTGTAGTCGGTGTAGGGGAGGACGCTGTCCAGCTGGTCCTTGAAGAACTGGGCGATGAAGGGGGCAGAGAGGTTGAGCATGAACACCTGTAATCGAATCCTGGTCAGCAAGTTGTCAACAAGATCCTTTGGGATTGACCATACCTTGTTCTTAGCAGCAGCTTCCTCGCCGAGGGCCTGAATGGCAGGAACGCAGACGGTAAGGTGGAAGCCACCGACGTAGTAGAACTGGGCCTTCTCGACGAGGGACCAGATGTGAGGCTGCTTCAAGTGCTCGATCTTGTACTCGTTGGCGGCAGCAAGGTGGGTGCACATGCTGCGGTTGTGGCCGGTGATGATGACACCGCACTTGCCGGTGGGCTGGGCATCGTCGACACGGTACTCGGTGTGGACACCAGCCTGCTCGCAAGCCTCCTTCAGGATCTCGGCGTACTTGTCACGGCCAACACATCCGATGTAGCAGACGGAGCTGGCGGGGAGAGCGTACTAGTTCGGCATCACGTTAACATTCGTCCGCATGCCATGGTGGAAGGGGTCAGTTTTAGTCTATGTACCTGGGCACCACGGGCAGTGTTCTGGGCAGCACCACCGGCGATCAGCTTGACATCGTTCTTGGCAAACAACTCGTCGTAGAGACCCATGTGCTTGTCCTCAGCAAGGATAGCATCGTTGTCCTTCAGGCCATACTTCTGCAGAAGGGCGGCATCACTAGTGACAATGTTAGAATACTTTGAAGAGACATAGATTATAAAGTAGGGTTTCCGGAAGAAGTAACATACCCGACAGCCTGAATGTCTATAGGAAGCAATCAAAATACCGGAAGTTAGCCCATTGAACAATGTAAGATCCGGGGATAGTAAGCAGCGAGAGAAAGAGACGGAGGGGAAATCTCACGCACCGAGGAGGGGGTTCTCCAGACACAGAAGAGGGTAACCTTGAGCAGCAGCCATTGTGGAGGGTGGAGTGGAATGAAATGGGGGGAGAAAAGAGGTAGAGAGTATAGAAAAGGCAAGGGAGGATATAGAGAGGGAGAAGAAGGGAAGAGAGAAGAGGGAGAGAGAGAGCAGCGAGAGATATACCAAGTCAAGGAGGGGCAGCCATGCAGAATCCAAAAAGGCGGGCGTAATGGCTGCCTCCCGCTGATTGGCCGCAGGAACCAACAAGTTACTCCGTGCCCGGACTATCCCATCATTCCTCCCTACTTGCTTTTAGCTATACGCTCAATCTTACTATCTACAAGTCTAAATTCCACCCGGTGTCAAAACCCGCGGGTCCGAAATCCTCCCATTCACACATTCATCTGCCCCTTAAACAGATCTACCACTCATCATGACCGACCCCGCCCTCCAAATCCCCGAAGTCATCCAAACCGCCTCCATCAACCCGGCGCCGTCCGCGGAACACGACGTCAACCCGCCCACCGCAGCCTCCGAGAAGCAGCCCGTCGTGGAAGATGATGTCGCCTCCGAAGCAGGCAGTATCCCCTCCGATGTCGTCGCCCCTCACCGCATGATCAAGCCCGTTTCACGACGACACCAGCTGCCCCCATTGCCCGATCTGCGCTTCGAACAGAGCTATCTCGCCAGCTTGCGGGGAGCTGATACCTGGGGCCGAGTAGCTTGGATCACCATCAGAGACCAGGTAGGTTTACCTGCCTGTCTTGCAATATTCCACTGGAAGCAAAAGAGGCTGCAGACTAACACAAATGCGCTCTAGGTCCTCCTCCCTCTTATCCAGGGCACCGTCTGGACTCTCGCTCTCTCCGGCTGGCGATTCTGGAACCGCAACGCGTCCCTCAGTGGCCAGACACTCGGTAGCAAGATCCGGAGATGGTGGTATGAGGTGAACAACTGGAAGTTGCCTCCCCTGCGGTCGGCTAAGGATCCTCGCATTGCGGCGAAGGTGGAAGACGTGAGTGCATTCATACCATTATCCGTCCTTGGGATAGTTTTATTTCAAGGACTTTATTCCTCTAAGCCGAGAGTTTCGGTCATGCAACCCAATGAGACAGACACTGACATTTGCGGAGTTCTTGCAGTTCTACACGGCCCAGTTCTCGAATGCCGGTGCTGACTAGGTCGTCTTTTTGAGTGATTTATATGTATGGTTGTCAAAGGTATTCGACGTGACTGTGGGTGTCTAGTAAAGTCTGCATTTTGGGAGTTTAGCGTACGGCGTTTTCATTGATTTTAAGCTTCCCCTTATATAGCCTGGAGCTTTCAATTTTCCTACACACTATCTCTAGTATATACACCCAAGGGATACGAGACTTCTATTGGTTCATCCCAATCTTGCAATTTAAATACTGTACATAGCGCATAGCAGCCCAAGCAAGAGGTCCGTCCGTCCATCTGGTATTCCATATAGTAGTATGACAAATTTATGTCTTGGGGTTAGATAATCCCTCATCTCTCTGATACCGATCGATTCACGCCCATAATCATCCTGCTATAGAGCAGTCACGGTAGAATTCCATATCACACGTCGCATCTCTAATAACAGCACAATTTTTTGGCCGCAAAGCTTGGCCCGACAAATTCCACCCACGAACAGAAAACGCCTTTAAAAAAAAAACGTGTGAGCGAGTTATATTCTTAAGTCTGACAAGAATTACCGTATTCCGGTGGATAACTCTATCGAGACCAGAAATTCGGCCACTCTCGGGGAATCAACCATTGGTGCTGTGTTTGTTATAGTATATGTGTCTTGCCTAGTTTCATTCTTTCTAAGCTGTTTGGGTCTTCGTCTCAGTCGCAGTCGGCTGCGATGCATCGACTTTGGCAGAAGTGTCAGTTGTGGTGACATCTTGGGCTGCGGGCGCAGCATCAGGTAGAGTCTTTGCGACAGCGTCTGGTTGGGGGCTCTGCCCGTTCACTGCGGGTGGTGGTTGTCCTTGCAGTGCATCTTCCGCACCGGTCGCCGTGACCGGTTTAGCCACATCCTCCTTGCCCTTCGGGTCTTGCTGTAAGGGTTCCTCTGTTGGGCCATTGGGGCTACTTGGGACCTTGTCCTTATTGTACCTGAGTTGTACCACAAGGCTTGGTGGTTCTCCGTTCATCACTGCTTCATCCCCACTCAGCTCCTCTTCGTCGTCGCCCTCGAATTCGTTGTCCTCTTCTTCCTCGCCTTCGTTTCCTTGCCACTCATTTCCGCTGGATTGTCCTCCTTCCGAGCCTTCATCCATTTCTTCATCGTCGTACTCTGTATACCCATTTGCTCGAGTCGTCCGGCCCCTTGTGGGTCTACCCTCGTCGCCAGCATCGCCGTCCTCGCGTTGTCCACTCAATAACGTCTCGCCATAAAGGCCGCCTGCGCGAGATCGTATTTGCCTACCACTGGCTGTGAATCTGGGGCCGGCTGGTTCTGGGGGTGTGGAAATT